AGGCTGCCCTCTTAGCAAGGGCCTCACCTTAATGAATTTCAACCTTACCACAGGTTTTGACTCCATCAACAGGCTTGTCCTCTTAGCAATGGCCTCGGTATAATGAATTTCAGCCTTACCATATACTTCGACTCCATCAACGGGTTTGCTTTCTTAGTAAGGGCCTCATATTCAACTAGGTTTACGTACTATCATGATATCTTACTCACACATCATAACATAGACCAACTCATTAAAACCTCTACTTAAAAGTTCACGCATTATATAAATATCCATACTTGAACTTCGGGGATAGAGATGGGCTATGCTATTTCTTCGCAAAACGCAACACGACCCCAAGTAGAACAAAGAACATCTCAATTTAGCGGCGACACCTCAAGTTAAAAGTCAACGCATTATATGAATAATCATACATAGATTTCGAGAACTATTGTTACGCCTTGTTTGACGAGGCTCCATAGAATACTACATGGCAAGAAAACTTGGCCCGTGCTCTACGTCACCCTATGAAAAAAGGTAGTTTGGCCACGTGAAAAGGCCAGAACCCTACTTGGATAATCGAGCCCTCATGAAGGAGCAATACTGCAATGGGTCTAGCAGAAGATCTTTTATGTAATTCCTAATAAGTGATTGAGGTGACAATTCACTGCTATTGTCACCCTATCCAGCCAAACATGTCAAGTCTAAAACTTTTGTCAGATTTATGGGCAACGAAATGGTATCAACATTAAATGCTTATGATTGATTGATACATTTGACAAGAGGCCTCAGTTGTGTAGATGAGGCCACATATACTTTATGGTACGGTCAATACCCATTCATTCTATTATAAAAGCTCACACAATGTACCATTTCAAAGGTAATACAAGTTTAGACTCTCAAACTATAACTCTACTATCCTTATTCTTATCACGTATTCTCCCTAAAGCCTACCCCTTTTTTTTTTTTTTACTTTGGAGGCTCACGTCTAAAACACTTTCCATACTCAAATACTTACAACCCAACTGACTTGACTGGCGCAGCACGTGCATCCAATTCCACCACCACCGCAGTGCGTGTGTGTAGCCAATTCTACCCTAGTGTGTAGGAATTAGGCTTAAGTGGACGCGGGAGTCTTTAGGATCCATTGGTCACGTTGGAGGTACAGCAATCAAGGTTAACATTTGACATCTTTCAATTTTAGTTCTAGTTATCATCCACAAACCGCGAACAAAGTGAGGTGGTAAACCGAACTTTGAAGATGTATTTAATGAGTTTTACAAGCTTAAGACCCAAAGAATGGATAAAATGGCTTCCGTGGGCAAAATATTGCTTTTATACTAGATGGCACTTTTATTTGAACAAAACTTAATTTGAGGTACTAGCGTATGGTTGTGAACCTCCTAAACTATTGCATAATATTCTTGGAATTGCACGAGGAAGAATGTTGGAAAGAGATCAGGTTCTTAAAGATGTTCGCATTAATATTTTACAAGCTCAAGAATGGATGAAGAAAATTTATGATACTAAACTTCAAGAGCAAGAGTTTGTAGTAGGTGATTGGATATTCATGAAACTTCAACAGTACAAGTAGCCCTCTCTTTCATCTAAAAAAAATTTCAATTTATCTCCCTGTTTTTATCGGTCATTAGAAGTTTCATAAATGATCGGCAATATAAGGTAAAATTACCTCCATCTTCCCATTTGCGTCCAACATTTCGCATTTCAGTGCTCAAAAGAAAGGTTGGGGCATCAAGTAGTTTTCAAAAATTACCACCTGTAAGTGAAAGTTTGGAATACATCCCTCTATTAGTAATTAGCTCCATGAAAAGAAAATCGAGGGGCTAAGTGTATGGCAAGGACTATCCCCAGCAGAAGCAACATGGGAGGATCGTCAAGCTACTCAAGAACGTTTCTCTGAAATTATACGACTTCATTTGCAGTTGTATAGAGTCGAGGTGAAGATATTTTGGTTACAGAAAAGTCCCTTGTATAGTCCTTAGTGGATTGTACATTTATAGCCCACACTAATTAGCGTGGGCTGTAAACGTACAGTCCGCTAAGGACTGTACATGTAGCATATTTCTTTTGGTTATTTTCAATCTTTATATTTTTCTATTTGAACAATTCATAAGCTTGTTTCCTATTTCGTTATTACGTCCATACTTTGCTGGACATCAATGTTTTGTTCAACTCTATTTATGTGCTTGAGCTTTTTGAAATAAAACATGAACAATTTAGCAATTGTGGGGTTGGTTCCTCATATAAACCCATCAATTTGTTCTTTCAATCGCAAGTTACAGTCTTCAAATTCTTCATCCGTAACACTCTGATAATGCAAAATGAAATTTATGTACTTCCCCTATTAAAGGGCTAATTGATCATGCTTTGAAGAGAAAAAAGGTTGAACCCAATCTTGAGGGTCCCCCACCGCTCCGTCCCTAGAGCATTGTGGAAGAGGTAAATCGTGGGATGTGTTTCAGCAGGCTAGGGTACAAGAGTTGCCATACTTGAAAAATTGATATTATTGTTGGGAAAAAATTTCCCTAAATGCAACGAAAATGGAAAAACAAAAAGCGAGTTTGAAAGAGAGAACATGAGTTTATCGTGGTTCGACAAGTGTGGATAAGTACATAAGAAGGAGACTTTATTAATTGTGACAGTAGTACTTCCTGAGGTAAAATTCCTTTTCAAATTATTCTACATGTACATCAGGATTTACACCTTGGTATACAGGTAGAAAAACCCTCATTTTCCAACCAAACTTTATTGTTAAATTAGGATTTTAATTACTTCCTTGACTCCTTAATTAATTTTATTAATTTGAGTCTACCTAAATATTCTTCATCATGATTCAAATTCTTCAAATCATGGCACACCTAGGCATCCGTATTCACACCTCTTTACATGTATGTGTCACTTTTCCTTGATCAATTGTCCAAGAAATGAGCCGAATTCAAAAGCTTATTAAACGTGAATCTACAATTTGATATATTTGAACTTCAAACTTCGTTCTTCTTACCGTTACCCACAAAACCTGTCTTGGACACTTTACAATATTTGGCAACAATGGAAGACCATTCTCTTTGTGACTCGATTATCACAAATCTACCTTGGTATGACTCCAATACCACTTCTCCACATCGGTGCGACTCCATCATTACAGCTTTAACCTAAACTTTCTACCTTTCATTATCATTGAAGAACTTCTTTCCATTCATCATAACAGCGAGTGAGATTACTCATAACCCAATGTGTGTAGCGTTCCCAACTATATTTAACATTGCTTCAGTCTTGGGACATGAATAATCTATGTAAATAATCTCGCCGCTCCATTAAACATTTTCACTTTCATAGTACCTGAACCTTTAACTTCGAGTTTCTCATTATTAGCTAATATAGCGCACATGGCTTGTGTTCCTCAAACCTCTCATTGTGCAAGCACATATGATACACACATGACTTGTATTCCTCAAACAAACTTCTGTATATTGGAAATAGTCAGATTTTCGAGCACTCTATGGTACTATTGCGGGTCGGTCAGTTGGAGGGGTACAAAAATGGGCTAAGTTAAGTGTGTGACGTGGCATTGCTGGTAGAAAGGAACGGATTTGGCGTTGGATGGGTGTGCTGAAATCATGAGAGGGAGGTAATAGCCGTTTACACCGAGCACTTTGATGAACTTGCGTCGTCTATACAACTAAATGCTTGGCTATCACGAAGGTCCTCTGTTGTGTTTCGAACCCTGGACCTATTATAAAGAAAGTGTCCTTCCAAAATTTTAATATGGCTTTGCTGGATTGTTGACACTTGGCGTGTTGATCACCGTTGGATCTCATTCTAGAGGCTTCTGATCTATATCTTCCAAGTGACACTTTATTTGGCTCTGAGATTCTTTTTCTAGGGGTTTCATCCCTTCTTCTGCCTTCTAGAGAGGAAAAAACCTCATTCTTCATTAGGGTTTCACATTCTCGAGTGATTAGAGTGTGTAAATGTTAGAATTTCTTAGATATACTTCTGATTATAAGGAAGTGATGTATTTTTGAGTGATTTGTGTGATTGGTGAAGTTGGTGACATAATTGAGTGCTCTGTTGTGATTCTTGGCTAGAAGGTGTTTTCGATCCAAAGTCTTTTGTAAGGATAAGTCTTTGTGGGTTCATCTTGTATTCTTGAACCAATTGTAATCTTTGGCTGTCATATTGTTGGCTGTTAGTGCAACCGAGTAGATATTCATTATTTGGAAACTCAACATGGGATGTAGGCGTTAGATCCGAGCGTCGAACCTCCGGGGCTTAGGTCGAAATAATTCTTTGTGTTCAATCTTTAATTTTCTGCAAGTTTATACTTTGATCTGTTAATGCTTGGTGGAATCTTGTTTAATATCGTGTGTTGTGGGCCTTTTCAGCCTCCTTTTGCACATAACCTCGGTCTTGCCAAAGCCACAATTGAGTCAGAAAGCTACAATGCTATCTAAACTGGGGATCCCCTAGCTTGTTCGATGAAGTTGTAATGCATGATATCGATGAATAAAATTAGACGTTCGCCTTAAATATTAAGTAAGCGTAATTATTTCCTCGAAAAAGTGCATTGCTTTTTTTTTTTTTATAAAACTATAATGAAAATCAATTATAAACCAACAAAATAACTCACACTAACTTAGAATTGCCAGGAACAACACTAGGCAAGCCAAGTTCGGACTAGGTTTTTCTCTCTTAGCTCCCATTCATCTGGTATGAGTAAATTATCTTTGTTTCTTTCATTAGCCAGAATTCCGGTTCAACATTCCCTTCTACTTGATATTTTTTTCTTAATTTTGTAGTAATTAATAAATGCTTGAAATTTGGGGAATAAAAAAGAAGAAGGAGAAGGAGAAGGAGAAGGAGAAGGAGAAGAATAAAGGAAAGGAAAGGAAAATTTGTACTTACATTAATTCCTTCCTTTTTGCAGAATGTATTACTCCAACGAGATCAAAATCAGAGGGAAAATTGAATATAAAAATACTTAAAAAAAAAAAAAAAAACTATAGTTCATCACCGTTACTCCGGCGGCACAATGGACAAGTCCGATTAAATTCCGACCATATTTTGATACAATCAAAATGAAATATATGGTTGCACACCGGAAGACACCCTAACAGTTCTCGGTTTTTATATTTCGATAGACATATAGAGCATTCACGTTCCCCATCTGCAGCTTCTTCGATATAAACATCGATTGCTACATCATACCTCTTCCGTTCCTCCGTCGTCTGGGACCGAGTCGAAGTCTCTGCACCCGTTGGCTCTGTTGCTGGTGGTAGACGGTTTAGGACTGGCGCGGCTGCCGATGTTGGATGGTATATGATTGGAATAATGCGTCCTGCCGGTGGAGGACGGTTTACGACTGGCAGCTCTATTACTAGTGGTACATTATTGCTGGTTTCTTTCCAACATGATGACAAAATGAACACAACAAGACATACTAAAATTTCTATGACAAGTATCTCAATTAATGACAACATGTTTAAAGGAGGAGGAAGACGGGGAAAGAGAGAAATTAAAGCAGACCTATTCTTTGATGAACAATGGCTTATATACAGGCAGAGTTTGAGTCCTTGTTACAATCTAACACTGTTTCCGAATTTCAATAGGAAAGGAGAAGAAAGTGGATGCCTATATGATCTCTAATAGATTTCACTCAACTTATAATTAATCTTGAAAATAATAAAAAAGTTATTTTATTTACTCCTAAACAAGTATTATTTTCGTTCCTTTTTTTAAGTACAGTGGCGGATTCGACTTTTTTCTTCGAGGGGACAAAAATTAAGTGTCAATTTTTTTATTTTTTATTTATTATTAACGAAGTCCTCAAAAGGGAGGATTGGAAAATTAATTGATGTTTTGAGGAAAATATTGTGCGCGGTACTCTAAAAAGAGGGGAAGAATTATTATTTTTGTTTGTCCCTCGTTGATATTCATTAAAAAGAGATTTTTTTATTATTTTTTTTTGGAGAAAATGTGTTTAATAATAATGATTTTATGGAGAGTGTGTACTTAAAAAGTAGAAAATTTTTTGAATTTACGTGCAAAATATTTTATTGTATAAATATGTGATTAAATTTCAGTTTGAAGAAAAATAGTTCTGATTTAATGGAAGGCAAAAGGGGCTAAGTTGGATGAGAATCAACTTGTGGAGGCACTATTTCTGCTTTTATTGTTTTTTTTTTT